TTGGCCTGTAAACTTTTTTAAAATTATAATTTATAAACATTATAAGTGAAGAATACAAATATCTTTTTGAATTCAAAACAATTATTAGTAGCTAAAGATTATGAAAAAAAATGAAGAGAAACATGCTTTTTTGAAAATAACAAGAACATGATTCGAGTAATTTCGTTTTTTGTTATTATTAGAATTTTTTAATTTGTGCAAATTATTTAAATTGATGATTAATGCGCCACCAACCTGGCACACATTCAAGAATTGCTTGAAGAGCAGGGTACATATGTACACATTTTTTCATCAGTTCAAAACATGTGATGATTAAAGTCCAAATATATACAGCTCATAATCATCACCTGTTTTTTTAATTACGTGCGTCGTTTTTTTTCCATCAAGCAAACTTTTCTCACATTTCTAATAACGATAAGACAAAACTATGTCCCGCTGGTATCATTGGCATGAAGAACCTCTTCCGTCAACCGAAGTTGTCGAGAAATGGGAACATGATGATATTGTAAAATTCCTAAGCGAAAAAAAATATTTTGGTCTCAATGACGATGATATAAAAATAATTAAAAATAAAAATTTCAACGGCATAGCCTTTATTAAGTTGACTGAGGACAACCTTGAAAAGTGGGGAATTTCGGAAGGACCAGTAATAGTAATAGCAGATTTTGTCAAAACACTTAATACCTACGTTGTAACGAAAGAGGTCCATTGTACCGCATCATATAATAGAAAAGTAGCGAAATTCCAGTGGACAATAACCCGAGAGATAGTGTCTTTAGCGGGGTTGAAAAAAAAACTTCGGGAATACTTCACATTCCAAGATGGGACAGAAGAAGAGCATATCGTAATAAGTCGTGTGTTGGATGTTTTTCCACCTATAAAAAGAAAACTTTCAACTCCACGTATGGAGAAAACAAAACCCAGTATGAATGAGGTCTCAAAAAATTCCGACCAAATAAAATTAGACTCGCAAATTAAATCAGTAGAACGTAAGTCAATTCATTTATCTACTGACGAAGATTTAATGAGCATAGTTTGGACTGCTAGCCCCAAGATTGATTTAGCGATCATTGTGGATACATGTAATGTTTATTTTATATTTATGCTTGGTTTATCAAATGTATATTATACGTGTCAGGTTCGTTAAGCATTTACATTTCGTTTAACCAGCACAGCAATCGTTCTCATCCTATACTTTCCCAAAGATGAAAGTTCTTTTCGGTTTGAAAGCCGATAGCTATATAGAATTACCACGTTTTACAGGAGGGATTTCAGAAATAAATGAGGCGCTTAGAGATGATATGATTAAAAATATTTTAGAAATGCATATGGTATCACCATCTATTGTAGGTATAAATGAAGCAACCCGTTGCGAATTTATTTCGCGAATTATCTATAAAGCTGCATCGATGTTTGGTGGTATCGTAAAAGTTTATCCTCAATATGAGGTATCTGGAAGCCATGGCAAGGGACCAATCGACTGGGCGATCAAGATGGAGGATACAATTTTCTCCGTGACTCAGGCAAAAAGAGAAAACATTGATCAAGCTATCGCTCAGAACACCGTCCAAGCTCATGCATCACTACAACGAAATAGGAAAAAGCGTACTTATGAGGAAGCTGATATGTATGGAGATGTAATGTACGGCATTGTTACAACCGGTAGGGCCCATGACACTATCTCATTAAGTGTTGAAGCAAAAATTAGTTAAGCACTACTTTTAATCTTGATGTTTCTAATATTAGGAGTCGATTGGATAATAACCAAGGTCGTCTTAAGTAATGAGAACGATAATGAGAATGGGGATGTTCAAGTTTATTGGAGTTCCAAGTCACCTGTGGCACTGCCTATCAATAAGCGATCGTTAACTCATGATGACCTGGTACAACCTATTACTGATTTACTAGAACAAATTAAGTGGATTTATGATTTACAAATTGAATCGCAAAAACGGCAACGCACAGATTAGGAACTATATAGTAGGCTAGCCACATTAAATAAGTTTTTGAAAGTGCATTTATTCACCGACAAATGGTATATTATCTTGTCTTAATATTGCAATTTTTTATAACAATAAAGCTGTCCCGGTGACCGATTTCGCATGCATAATCGCGTTTACTTTTGCGTGTATATTTTGTAAATTTATTTCATTATATTGATAACAGATAACGACATATATTAATCTGCATATGAGTATTTTTCTTTGCATTTCCTGAACTGAGTTCAGAGATTTTATCACATGAATTACCTCTATGATTAACTTTATAAACTTTATAAATTAATATCAATGAACTTTCCTACTTACTTACTATTGGCATAATCAAAGTGGTAATATTAAATAATGCACGATTATTGAACCGGTTATTCAAAGAAAGAAAATTTATACCCCACAAACTGATAATTTATATATTATGAATTTATTGAATGTGTATTAATAGTTGATTCCTTATTAAATAATTATTTCATATGAACCTTAATACGGATACGTATTATTTCGCCGACAATTACTTCACAGACATCTTAGTTCACCGACAATTAATTCACAGACAAGTTCATTTCACCGACAATTGTTTCACCGACAGCTCATTTCACCGACAAGTATTTTTTATAAATTGCACTAACCTTAACTCTAATTCTAACTTGACACTAACAACAATGACCAGAATTACT